AGGATCGGGGAGTGTCTGGGGCACACTGTGCTGTGGCTATTCCCCGCTACCAGGATGCAAGGGGAAAATTGGGGGCATGGTTGTGGCTATTCTCAACTCACCAGGACCCATATGGGGCAGAGCGCACTGTGCTATTTCCATGTTTCATATACAAGGCCCCTTCTCAGACTCAGGGGGATACTAGGAGCTCAGATTATACATGCTGGGGTTAGTGAGGGTCCCGTCCCCTCTCCTCAGTTCAGTACTGCAGCACAAGGAGTTCACTCTGTCTGTCTGTTTATAAACCATCTAAGCGCCGGGCACAAGGATGAGCTCGTCCCCATGTTCCACAGGAGCAGGTGAGGGTCACATCTCATCACACCTTCTCTAATGGTCTCAGGCCACTGCCAAAGCCGGAAAAAGTCCCGGTGTAGCACCAGGCCTGAAACGAGCATTTGTGTGTGCGAGGGGGGTCTCAGCATGTGGGGCCAGGGGAGAGCTCACCCTGGCAGGTGTTCTCACTCGCGTGGGTGAAGTTGGCTTTCCCAGATGTGGGCTTGTAGCCATTGATGCAGGTGCAGGAGTAATTCCCAGGCACGTTGGTGCAGTTTGCGTGGGGTCCACAGTCTGCCGGGTTCGGGCCCTGACACTCGTCAATATCTGCAACACAAGAGGGGATGCACTGTACAGTCCTGGCAGGGAGACTTTCTACTTATCACCTTTCCCAGGCCCCGCGTTTAACTTGTCGTTCTTCTCTCGTACATTACAGCTGTAGCCCACGCCAGCTCTGCATTGCGGGCAGAAACATATTGCTTCATTACGGTACAACGTGGCAAAGACATCATTTTTCTCATCGCGCTCAGCCATTACCCGTTCTGACAGGCTGTTTATAATGCTACGTTTACTAGTTTTCGGAGGTTGTCGACTGAGGCTAACTATTTTTGTGGAGTTGTTTCAGATCTAAGACTCTGGCAATTGCTGCTTCATCATTTCGCTAACACTTTGTGACAATTGTGTGTGTGTGTGAAGTATTTGAGTGTATATGTTTCTCATGTGCGAATATGCGTGTGTAGGTGGTTGAAATTTGCCATATTGATATTGCCGGTTGTTGTATGATGGAGTATCCGCCATTCGAATTTTATAAATGTTATTAATAACAAGAATTGGATATTCTAGAGGTAGAATAAAATGTAGTAGATTTTGATATGAAAGAATGAAGGGAGGAAGTATACGTAACTAAAAAGGTGTATTTCCGATTACAATCAACATTGCTTAATTTTAAGGAAATGTCATCTTGATCTCTTAATCAATGTTTATGTCCAACGGTCGTTGAAATTCAAATAGTGACTCATGGTTAGTAAGTGACATGTATTCTCTATCCTTTACTTTTAATAGTGAACAAGAAAAAGAACTGATAGGAAGAAAAATTCATTTTTTTCGTTTTCAGTTGATGCAGCTGGGGAAGGGGAGTGCAAGGTGGAAGTTTTGCCTACGGCACAAAATATCTTTGCACAGGCCCTGGGGCCGCCCCAGGTAGTGTGGAGCTGCTGTAGGGGTCCTGCACCCACCCTGCTCCTAGATATGGATGAAGAGGCCGAGGCTCAGGTGCCCAGCACTGCAGCTATTCCCTGCCCCCCAGGACCCATGGGGGACGATCGGTTCTGTGGCAGGGGCACACTGTGCTGTGGCTGTATTCCCTCCTCACCAGGACCCATAGGGGGCAGAGCGCACTGTGCTATTTCCAAGACCCATACACGAGACCATGTCCCAGGCTCAGGGGGACACTAGCAGCCCAGATGCTGCGTGCTGGGGCCAGAGAAGGTTCCCCTCTCCTCTCCCCAGCATATCACTGCAGCACAAGGAATTTGCTCCGTGGGTCTGTTTATTCCGCACGGAAGCACCGGGAACAGGGGTGAGCCCAGCCCTTGTTCTTCAGGAGCAGGCGAGGATCACCTCACATCACAGCCTCGCTGATGAGAGGTGATCACTGCGAAAGCCGGCAGCAGCCGCAGCGCAATGCCAGGCCTGGAACGAGCATTTGTGTGTGCGAGGGGGGGACTCAGCAGGTGGGGGTCAGGGGAGCGCTCACCCTGGCAGGTGTTCTCACTCGCGTGCGTGAATTTGGCTTTCCCAGAGCTGAGCTCGTAGCCATCAATGCAGGTGCAGTAGTAATTCCCAGGCACGTTGGTGCAGTTTGCGTGGGGTCCGCAGTCTGCCGGGCTCGGGCCCTGACACTCGTCAATATCTGCAACACAAGAGGGGACGCTCTGTACAGTCCTGGCAGGGAGATGTTCCTGTATCACCCACCTGCACTGAGCTGGGTGATGGGACCCAGGCGACCGGGCCCCTGGCAGCTTAACTATCACAGGCCTGATTCTCAGCTACACTCAGGTGGCACTAGGCTGCTCTGGCAGCGGAACGGCCACTCGAGAATCCCCCACCCTGCAAAAGGGGCCACCCCAGCTGGTGTGGAGCTGCTGTAGGGGCCCTGCCCCCACCCTGCTCCTAGCCCCTGATGTAGGGGCCAGGGCCAGGGTGCCCAGTAATGCACCTATTCCCTGCACTGTAGAACCCAAATGGAGAAGATTTGGGGTATGGATGGGGTTCACAGTATTGCAGCTATTTCCTGCCCCCCAGGACCCATGGGGGAGGACTGGGGGTGTGGCAGTAGCACACTGTGCTTTGGCTATTCTCTCCTCCCCAGGGCCCATAGGGGGCAGAGCGCACTGTGCTATTTCCACGGCCCACACACGAGTCCCCTTCACAGGCTTAGGGGGACACTAGTAGTCTAGGTGCTGCGAGCTGGGGCCACCGAGGGTCCCCTCCCTTCTCCCGAGCGAATCACTGCAGCACAAGGAGTTTGCTCCATGGGTCTGTTTATTCCCCATCCAAGCGCCGGGCAAAGGAGTGAGCCTGGCCCAATTCTCTGTGGGTGCATGCGAGGGTCACGTCTCATCACAGTTTCACTGATGGCCTCAGGCCACTGACAAAGCTGAGAAAAGGCTCGCTGCAGCACCCGGCCTGGAACGAGCATTTGTGTGTGTGAGGGGGTTTCGCAGCAGGTGGGGGTCAGGGGAGAGCTCACCCTGGCAGGTGTCCCCACTCGCGTGCGTGAAGGTGGCTTTCCCAGAGCTGGACTTGTAGCCATCGATGCAGGTGCAGGAGTAACTCCCGGGCACATTGATGCAGTTTGCGTGGGGTCCACAGTCTGCCGGGCCCTGACACTCGTCAATATCTGCAACACAAGAGGGGATGTTCTGTACAGTCCTGGTAGTGAGACATTCCTGTATCACCCACCTGTACTGAGATGAGTGATGAGTCGATTGCGACCCGGCCCCTGGCAGCTTAAGTATCACAGGCATAATACTCAGCTATGCTCAGGCGGCACTAGGCTGCTCTGGCAGCAAAACGGCCACTTGAGATTCCTCTGCCCTGCAAAAGGGGCCACCCCAGCTGGTGTGGAGCTGCTGTAGGGGTCCTGCCCCCACCCTGCTCCTAGCCCCGGAGGTAGAGGCCGAGGCTGGGGTGCCCAGCACTGCAGCTATTCCCTGCCCCCCAGGGCCCATGGGGGAGGATCGGGGTGTGGCTGGGGCACACTGTGCTGTGGCTATTCTCTCCTCCCCAGGGCCCATAGGGGGCAGAGCGCACTGTGCTATTTCCATGGCCCAGACACGAGGTCCCTTCCCAGCTCAGGGGGACACTAGCAGCCCAGATGCTGCATGCTAGAGCCAGAGAGAGTCCCCTCCTCTCTCCCCAGCCCATCTCTGCAGCACAAGGAGTTTGCTCTGTGGGTCTGTTTATCCCCATAGAACCCCCCGGTACAGGGGTGAGCTCGGCCCCTTGCTCTTCAATAGCAGGTGCCGGTCACATCTCATCACAGCCTCGCTGACGGCCTCATGCCATTGCTAAAGCCGGCAGCAGCCCCGGAGCAGTA